AATAAATATTTTAGCTTTAGTGAATATCTTACCTCTCTCGATGAAGTGTTTGATGGAGTTTAAAAGAAAAGATCATTGCATTTTTTATTTTTTTATTTTTTTATTTTTTATGTTGACTTGAAGAAGTCTCCTTTCCCAGATCTGTCATCAACAACACTTCTCTTTCATTCTCATTGCTAAATCCTTGTCTGCAAAAATGGCAAAAGCACTTGTTTCCACAATCTTACAGCAGATAACAATCATCTATCAAAAAGCCCTGGAGGAAGTGAGACTACTAACGGGTGTTAAGGAAGATATGAGAAACCTCAAAAACAACCTCACATCTATCAGAGCTTTACTTAAAGATGCTACAGAGAAGCAAATATCGGATGAACCTGTCGAGTTGTCGTTAGATTGGCTCAAAGAAGAATCTCTTAACATGGAAGATACTTTGGATGAGTGGAGGACTGTAATCCTATATCATCTAGCTGATGGAGTTGAAAATGTTTCGTTTCTTCAAAGGAAGGCACGTGTTTTCCTTAGATGCTTTTCTTTTCATCCTATTAGATACCATGGCATTGCTCGCAACATAAAGGAAATCAATGGAAGGTTAGATAAGATTGTTGAGGATAGATTTAGGTATCAGTTAACAAGCACAACAATCAGTAAACTGTCAAGACAAGAAGAAAGCAAGTCTTTTATTGATGAGTCCAGATTGCTTGGTCGAGATGATGTCAAAAATGAAATAATCAACCATTTGTTGTGTGAAACTAGCAAAGATGAAGAGAGTAGCCCAATCCATACCATCTTTATAGTTGGGATAGGAGGTATTGGTAAGACTGCTCTCGCCCAACTGGTCTACAATAATGAAAATGTTAAAGAACATTCCACTTATGGAGTCTGGACAAGTGTTTCAGACATTTTTTATGAGAGCAAAGTTGCAAAAGCAATCATTGTGGGGCTTCAAGGCTTAGAAAAACAAGCAATCCTCCAGTTTGAGTCAGTTCCATTAAATGCTCTTTTAGATGAAATTTGCAAGTCCATAAAGGGAAAGAAGTACCTTCTTGTTCTAGATGAAGTATGGACAGAAAAAGATAAAGACTTTGAAGGACTAAATGCTACATTCAAATGTGGTGCTTCGGGTATTAGGACATTGGTAACTACACGTAAGAGCACTGTTGCAACAATTATGGGAAGTTCACACACCATTCAGTTAAGTAACTTAAGTGATGAGATATGTTGGTCTAGAATTAAGAAAATGGCATTACAACAAAAGGACCAAAGGACTTGTGAGCAGTTCAAGTCAGCAGGGTTGAAAATTGCAGAAAAATGCAAAGGTCCGCCCCTTGTTGCAAAGACTTTGGGAGGCCTCTTGCGATTTAAAACTGGTATACAAGGATGGGAGAATGTTTTGAATAGTGAGTTGTGGAGAATGGAAATGGTACATAAAGATGTTTTTGTTCCTTGGTTGTTGAGTTATCATGTTCTGCCCTCACCAGTAAGACAGTGCTTTATATATTTAGCTATCTATCCTAAAGACGAGCGTTTTTATTCTTGTGATTTGATTTCACACTGGAAGGCACAAGGTTACTTAGGCTTTGATGATGATGATTACTCACCATTGTAACTAAAAGGCTTTGAGTACTTTCAGTGCTTAGAAGCTCGCTGTTTCTTCCAAGATTGAGAATGAAGCTCATTTTCTTAAGTGTAAGATACATGATTTGGTACATGACTTTGCTCTCTTTTTGACAAGGGGTCAGTTTATGACATTGGAGGTCTCCAAAGGTTATAAAAGATCAACAATGAATGAAGAAAGAACTCTTCGACATTTGACAATGATGGCAGAAAAGGGTCTCTATTTTCCTGAATTCATTCCTGATGCTAAAAATTTGCGAAGTGTTGTGAGTTATGGTGACGGTGGTAGTGATTATGCTGTTGTCAGTAAAAAGACCATGAGTAATTTGTTTAATCAAGCTAGACGCTTAAGGCTAATGGATATGGATATGGCTGGATATCATGGTTCAACTATTCCAGAAGAAATAAGAAACTTAGTGCATTTAAGATACCTTAACTTGAGTTATAGCGAAAACCTTAAAAGGTTGCCAAAAGCACTCTTCAGATTACACAATTTAAACATTTAATTTTGTTTTGTTGCTCTAATCTTGAGAGACTGCCTGATGAGATAGGAAATTTAGTCAACTTGAAGTTTCTTCAGACCGCAGGTTGCTTCAAACTAGCTTGCTACCCGAAGGGAGTTGTGAGATTAACTCGACTTACACAATTAGTGGGGCTTATTGTGAGAATTGATAGTGATGATCTTGAAGAGTTTAGCATTGGAGATCTAACAAACTTGAATAAAATTATCGTGCTTTCTATGAAAATAGTAGGAAATACATTCAATGTGGACGAGACTAAAAAGGTGAAGCTTAAAAATTTGCAGGAGGTGAAGATATTGGTGGATGGGGACATAAAGGAAGCTGAACATGTCATCCTTGAATCCTTAAACAAGTCCTCTGTACCAAGACACAGATTTCAAACGAACTACTAAATGCATGACGGCTTTGGCGCATCAAGAAATGAATGGTTGGTAACCGTTTCATTAACTCATTCTTTCTCAAACATTATAACTAGGAAACTCTCTATTTGTACTTTAAATATTATTATTTTTTGTAATTAATATTTTTTATAATTTTCATTCTTAATCAACATTTTTCATAATTTGAAACTTATAAAAAATTTAAAATTAACACCAATTCACATGTAAATAAGGGTTTTGGTCATTAATTTTTAAGGTTTTTAAGAATTTAAAATTTTAAAAGATGTTGACTTGAGGGTAAAAATTCTAAAAGACTGTTAATTATAAAAAATAATAATGTTTAATTACAAATACAAACAGAGGGTTTCGCCTTATAAATGTTTAAATTCTTATATATATATATATATATTAATCATAATCTTTGTATCGTAGTCATTACTATAGCTGGGCGTAAATGAGAGTTTTTGATGATGATGATTCTGAAGAGGAAAGATGTCAGCTCCTGTACTTCCCCCTTTTTGGTACACGTTCCTTGTTGCAATGGACATTGTGTGGTTTCTTATTGTGTAAATCTGCCGTGTTCTTTTTTTCTTGATTTTATTTATTTGTTTATGTTTGAGATGGTTTATAGATGGTTTTATTTCTTAAAAACTGTTGAACATTAAGGCTCTAGATGATCTCCCATATCAACCAGTTAAATGTGTGGGGTTTTTCAGATTGATTATCTATAAATGATTCTGCCATTTTTTTTTCTCATTTGTTTTTCATCGAGGAAATGATTTTTTTTTTAACAGAAATAAGATATGTTAGAACTCTAAAATCAATCAATTTAGAGTTACATTAAATCTTATATATTCAAACATTTAAAATTGATATAAAACAATGAACCCCACAATTAGGAACAAATTCACACACCCAAAACCAATGTGGAACTAGAAACCCCCACAATCGAGACCCCTAAGGGCGAGAACATGGTAGTCGTGTTCGCTCAAGCCAATCATCAAACTAGTATTTAAGCTTTTTTGAATAGAGACAAGCCACACCATAACTCCAAAATCAATCAATTTAGAGTTTCACAGACTTTTATATATTCAAACAAACTCACACACTTGAAACCGATGTGGACAAGATTAGGGGAGACAATGATTTATTTGTTAGTAAGAAGAAGAGTAATAGTGACACTCAGTTTTTATACTCTTCATCAACATTCATGATATTACTGTTCTATATAGCATGTATATTTTTATTATTTGTGCATATAACAAATTAAGTTATTTAAATTGAAAATAAATAATATGTGAACTAATCACTTCATGAGTATTAAAAAAGAGTATAGAAAACAATAACTGGTATTTTTTTTATTACAAACTAGCAACTAACAAGAATTTAGTTGAATTGATATCTAAGAATTTAAAATTTTTAATTTGAGATTAAGGTAAAAAGTTTAAATTTTTATATTACAAAATAGCTAACTCTTATATATATCAAAACAAATCACATGCTAGCAACACATTGATGTTATAGCATTTTTTTTTTTTTAATGTTTTTGATGTTATAACAAACCACGTTGAATCTAATTAATTTGGAATTGAATCATATTAAATCCCTTAAAACAAAAAGTTTGGTTGATGTTAATTTCTTTACTTATAAAACTCAAACTCAAAATTTTACTTAAAAAAACTAAACTTTTTTCATACAGTCCAATAGATTATTAATGTAGCTTTGTATTTAGCAAGAAAGGAATTTGAGTAGTGGAATTTGGAAGGAGGCTACTATCAATTGCCGTGAAGGAATTGCATGCATGAGCATAATCTACTCGGGCTGGGCCTGCTGAAAAAAAAAGTAAAAAAAAACGGTCACGACAACTGTAAAACTTTTTGGGCCAGCGTATGGTCCATTAGGCAAACTGAGATTTAAGGATCTCGTCCCAAGAAATGAAAATACCCCTGTTAAGGTCTCCC